GTCTCATTGCCTGGCAATGGAACTTGTGTCTCCAAATCCTTCGGGTGCTTTGGGAAGCCTCCCCTTAAAGCAGAGCGGAATTCATGAGGCAAATTGAACTCAGATGCAGATTTCACGGTCTACGTGTGTTCAGAGCTGCAGCCCTGGGTTATCCCTCTATAGAGATAATCAATAGGCAAGATTAATCACATGAATGTTCCCATTTGGTCAGTGGTCCCGCTGCAGTCAATGGGAACATTGTGCTCATAAATGCGGCTAAGGTTTGCACTCTAGTCTAACTCAAAAGCATTTAACAAAGACAATAACTGGAGGGAAAACATTTCCATATGAAATATGCATCTTAAATGAATACTAGAAACAGATACTGTAATATAACAGTGGCTATTTATATGGGGAAAATACACCATAAGAACGGCCATACTGGGTCGGACCAAAGGTCCATCTAGCCCAGTATCCTGTCTTCTGACAGTGGCCAATGCCAGGTGCCCGAGAGGGAAAATCATCAAGTGATTCCCCCCTGTTGCCCATTCCCAGCTTTTGACAAGCAGAGGATAAGGACACGACTCCTACCCATCCTGGCTAATTGCGATTGGTGGACCTATCCACCTTGAATTTTTCTAGCTCTTTTTTTCAACCCTGTTAAAGTCCTGGCCTTCTCAACATCCTTCAGCAAGGAGTTCCAGAGGTTGACTGAGTTGTGTGAAGAAGTACTTCCTTTTGTTGGTTTTAAACCTGCCACCTATTTATTTCATTTGGTGACCCCTAGTTCTTGTGTTATGGGAACAACTTTTCCTTATTCTTTTTCTCCACACCAGCCATGGTTTTATAGACCTTTTTCATATACCCCCTTAGTCTCTTCTTTTCTAAACTGAAAAGTCCCAGTCATTTTAATCTCTCTTCATATGGCACCAGTTCCAAACCCCTAATCATTTTTGTTGCCCTTCCTGAACTTTTTCCAATACCAAGATATCTTTTTGAGATGAGGCGACCACATCTGTACGCAGTATTCATGATGTGAGTGTATCATAGATTTATACAGAGGCAATAAGACATTCTCTGTCTTATTCTCTATCCCTTTTTTAGAGATTTCTGACATTGTTCGCTTTTTTGACTGCCGCTGCACACTGAGTGCATGGTTTCAAAACAGAACACCAAAACACTTTGTCGTGAAAGACTGTCATTGGAAATTTTATATTGATTTCCTGCTGTTTTAGCAATTAATTACTATTAATCCATTTAATGTGGAATGCTTCATTACAATTCACAAGTTTTGTGTATTAATTTTATGTATTCCAAGGAGATTTCTTCTGTGTTGTGAAGATATCTTATATGGCCTCTAACCTGACACTTGATATTTAACCTGCAGTAACTGGTTTGTAAAATGTACATTAAGTGCTTTATTTTTCCTGGCATATAATGTTAAATGAAATGTAACATTTTATTCTATCAGATGATCAAAAATAAAAGATTCCAAACTGCAAGGCTATGTCTAGACTGGCATGATTTTCCAGAAATGCTTTTAACAGAAAAGTTTTCTGGCATAATTTTCCGGAAATGCTTTTAATGGAAAAGTTTTCTGTTAAAAGCATTTTCAGAAAAGCGCGTCTAGATTGGCAGGGCGCTTTTCCGGAAAAGCACTTTTTCTGGAAAAGCGTCCGTGGCCAATCTAGACACACTTTTCTGCAAAAAAGCCCCAGTCACCATTTTTGCAATCGGGGCTTTTTTGTGGAAAATAGTACTGTTCTGTCTACACTGGCCCTTTTGCGCAAAAGTCTTTCGGAACGGGAGCAGCATAGTATTTCTGGAAAATCGCTGACGATCTTACATGAGATCGTCAGTGCTTTTCCGGAAATTCAAGCAGCCACTGTAGACAGCTGGCAAGTTTTTCCGGAAAAGCGTTAGCTTTTACGGAAAAAGTGGTCAGTCTAGACACAGCCCAAAAGTACTTTGGTGGGAAATAGATTTGGCCAAAAATTAAGGGTGCAATCAGAGGTGACTGATGCCTATAGGGGGAGAAGAACGTGGGGGGGGGGCATACAGAGGAACAGGAAAGGGGTATGAAGCACCCCATTTAGTAATTCAAATTTTGGCAGGGGCAGTGCACCTCTCAGCACTACCATGAGTCACCTATAGGTGTGATTTTTCAGAAAGGCCATGCACTGACCCAACTCTGCTCCCCAGAGAAGTCCATGCCAGTTTTATCACTGACTTTAACACAAGCAGAGATAGGCCACTCTGGAAGACCTTTGAATATTTCACTCTAAATAGCTACCACACAGGAGTGGTACGAATGACCTAGGACCTCGCTGTCCTCACCACAAACACCCTGGCCTGGACTTCATCGAGTCCTTACTAACGTGACTTCCTAGAGTTACCCATTGCTCACTCATCCTCAATCATCTACTAAATGCATCATTCAGCAATGTACAGGTCCTTTTATGCCCAGCTCCCTGGCTCCCTGTTACCTCCCAGCTCTGATTCAGTCTCCTTGCTCTTCCCCTTCGGGTCCCTCCGGAGCTTCGTTCCTCCCTGATCTTGTCGCTTTTTACTCCCCACCATTCACTAAGCCAGCGCGGTTCATCTGCATGGCCCCTTCATGCTCCTTTCCCACACCAGCCGCTGCATATTCATTCATGCTGAGCCACCTGCCTTTTCCCTATTTGGTACTGTGCCTCTCTGTTTAAATCCCATCTCCCAGCCCCTTTTCGACAAGGAAGTTCACAGACTATAAATTACCGACATGTACATAGATGCTAAACACGCCACACATCCCTGCTCTCTCCCCTCCCCTCCTCTCTGCCTTCTGGATGTCACAGTCAAGATGATCCATTCAATGGGAACGAAGCCAACTCACCACCTGGCCGCGTCAAGTCCAAAAAGAAGATTTTAAAACCACGCAAGCAATTAACAGAGGGTGCAGGGCCCTGCCACCGATGGGAATGTTGCCATTTACTTGCATGGAGGCAGGACTGGGCCCCAAATGAAGCCATATCTAGCAATCAGCAGCCTCTAGCCCAGGCAGAGTCAAGAGTTAGGGTCCCTCAATACCAGTGTGGCCCGCCCGATAGCCAGGATGCTTAGGAGAGTGGCTGAGGGAAGGCAGCTGTATCGGAACAGGAGCTGCCGGTTACCAGCCCAGCACACCACGGAGCATGTGCACATAAAATTACAGTTTCGGATTCTTACTAAAATAAAGCAATATCTAGCAATCAGCAGCCTCTAGCCCAGGCAGAGTCAAGAGTTAGGGTCCCTCAATACCAGTGTGGCCCGCCCGATAGCCAGGATGCTTAGGAGAGTGGCTGAGGGAAGGCAGCTGTATCGGAACAGGAGCTGCCGGTTACCAGCCCAGCACACCACGGAGCATGTGCACATAAAATTACAGTTTCGGATTCTTACTGCAATTCACATGGCAATGTATAATGCACCGTGTAGCAGTAATGTGAGGCCCCATCCATTGCCAACTGTGAATGTCAATGTTTTCGAAAGCACCCCAAGGCAGCTAGGTGTCTTGTTCACATTGAATTAGAATGGGGGTGGGCATCTCACTGTTTAGCTCCCCTTTCAAAACCCCAGCCTTCCAACCTGGGGACTCTGGAGATAGTCGGAGGGTGGGGGAGGAAGTGTCCATCTTTGACCATGAGAAGGAGGCTTAAAAGAGGGCTTTGGAGGAGGAGAAAAGCACAGAGAGATCTGCTCTAGTAGCATAATAAAGGACTGGAAGGTAAAAGCAGAAGCGAAAAAAAGGGACGTGTAAGGAAAGAGGGTAGAAAAGCACATAGGGAAGAGGAGAAGCAAACTTCTGAGCAAGATAGAGAACAACTATAAGACATAAAGGGAGCCTGTGAAAGGACTCAGAAGGGGTGAAGCAGATGGAGGGATGGGTAGGGGAAGAGAACCATCTGTAGGATTTTTGCTAGGCTGAAGGAGAAAGGGTGACAAGTCAGAAAATCCAGGCAGGAGGAAGTTATTGTAATCAAAGTAAGAGATAGATGCCTTGTAGCCCCAGGAAGCTAAGGACAGATTTTAGTGATCTTAACAAGAAGTGACAGGGATGGGGACGGGGATGAGGGTGAGAGTCTGGATGAGAAGTAGGATGCTGGAGCAGGCTGGGAAGAAAAAAAAAGGGAAGGGGGGAGACAACATATATGGTATTCTTCTTTAGAGGAGACCCTTCATTGCCACGGTAGGCAGTGATGCTTCAAGGACGCTAGTTCCCTAAAAGCGAAGTACAAAGCCAGCCAAGAAATGGCAGCTGTTAAAAAGGGACAACCAGACATGCAAGGTGATCTCTCTCCTAGCGGGTGACAGCCGGGTGACAATCTTGAGAACAGCTCTGAGCTGGAGGGAATCTGGTGAGATTGTGAGTTGAGCAGCTCAAGTCATAGCGACGGTTCCCCAGGGACGGCGGATACAACAAACTTTTATCATTTCAAGGGAGATGGTGGAGCTCAGAGAAACCCACTGCAGTGCAACTAGCAGGCTCCTAAGCACAGGCTATGATCCAGCAGGGTCCCGAAAGGAAGAGGTATGGGGAGGCTTGGAAGAGAGATTAATTCAGCCAGTGCAGCTCTGTGTGGGGGCGCTTATAGCAACTCTAAAATGGATGGTCAGCATTTTAGTCTGCCCCTTCTAAGAGACCTGACCACGCACACAGGTTGTCATACTGGGGACATACTAATGAAGACAACTAGGTGCTGCACGCTGATTATCAGGCAGATGAAAGTTGCAAAGCCTCTCCTCTGAAGAGCAAAGCAGCGGAGGGGCTGCAGCAAACTTTAACAGCTGCTCTCACAGAGCCAAGATATGCAGCTGAAGAAAGATTGTCTCCTTGAGCAACCCCTGGTGACGCTGGACACAAACCAGTCACCGTACTTGTACTGTTAGAACAGCCAAGATACTTGCAAAATCCATGAAAATAGACCTACGTCAGCACACCTCCAAGTTACCAGCCTAATTAATAACCTCTTATAAACTGCTTATAAATCCACCATTCTCCCTCATTACACACAACCCACAACTTCTTGTCAATAAGCGGTGCAAGTGTCTTAGTACCCCCATTAATGTTGTTTTGGGTAATGTTGGGATACAGAGGGTGGTAAGAAAGGCTGGAACACAGAAGACTGGACTCTTTTCTTGTCTCTGCCACTGCAATCACTCTGCGACTTGGACAACTCACTTGGCCTTTCTTTGCCTCCGTAGCTGCATCTGTAAAATTAGGATAATGACTTTTACACACATTGCAGCAATGTTACAAGAGCTTAACTCAGTAAGATTTAACTGCGCTAAGCCACTCAGCAGAGGTGTGCTTCTGAAGCACAAAGCAGCATTCCAATTTTCTCACAGCCTCAAAGAATTATGATTTTAAATGAGTTTTTATGAGCTTCCTTCTCCCACAAAATGTCGCCTTTGAAATATGCAGAAAACGTGTGTGCGTGAGACAGAGAGAGAACCTAAGGCCAGATGTCTCCTGATGCCGGCTTCACTGAAACCCAAAATACTACCCTCCATTTTGGAACAAAGTTACATAACCTCATTTCCTGAGCTTAAGAAAAGGCCTTGAATTATATATGTCACTTTAAAATGGCATCAGAGTTAGGTTTATAAGCAGGCTTACATCAAAGCCAGTCTCAGTTCATACATTATGGGCACGTCTACACAGCAAGGCAAAAATCAAATTAAGTAACGCAACTTCAGCTCCGTTGACTGCGTACCTGAAGTAGAAGCAGCTTAATGCGGCTTTTGGTGCTGTCTACACTGCAGGACGTGGAAGGAAGAACACTCTCCCTTTGACTTCCCTTACTCCTTGTGAAATGAGGGTTCCAGAAGTCAGAGTAAGACGTCCGCCAGCTCGACATTATTTCAAAATAATGGCTTCCTGTGTAGACGCACACTTTGTTATTTTGAAATAACGACAGTCATTTCAAAATAATGCTGCAGTATAGACGTGCCCTATGACAGCCACGTCAAACACTAAAGACTGATGCAATATAGGAAAAGGAATGGACAGCCTCCTTAGTCTGATGTCTGTGGCAGTAAGAGAGGAAATCCTCACTCGAGTCACTTTTCATTCAGGAGAGACTGCCAAAAAATTCCTTGTTTGTTTGTTTTTGTTTTGGGGAGAGGTTAGGAGTGAAGTGTTACCTTCCTTGGTGCCTTAGATCCTTGGACTTGCCTTGTTTACTAGCAGGTTTTCACATGGCAATGCATAGACCTAACTTCAGGATCACAAAACCAGCCAAGTTTAGAGGCCAGATCCTCAGCTGGTGTCAATCAGTGTAGCTCATTGACATGAGGGACTCCATAGATTTATACCAGTAGACATCTGGCCTAGACATTTTACTTTGCATTATTGCAACTGCTCCCTTAGAATTATGAAAATAAGTGTAAGCCAGGGGTCTCAAGGATTGCTTGAAATGCAGCCAGCTGAAGTGGTTTAGCCTTGCAAGATAAGTAACTGTTGATATGTAAATACAGCTCATGCTGGGATGGGGAAGGAATCCGGGCTGTGGTTATATAAATCTAATTCAGCCAGGGCTGATGGAGGATCAGTTGTGAGCATGCAATGTCATGTACTGTAACTAATTTGGGCTGTTGTGGGGTCACAAATCATGCCACCCCTAATGTGGGAACTGTAAAAAATGACACCAGTGCTTGCAGGAGAGACACCATCCCTGTAAGAGGCCTCAGATGAACAAGCCTCCCCCTTCCGGAGTTGAGTGAACTGAGTAGGGGGTGGAGGGGGGAAAGGGCTTAAGCCAGCCTGCTTCATGCCAGTCAGGTGTGAGCTGTAAGACTGGTTCAACCTGCCTCTTTAAGGATAGACCTAAAGCAGACTCCATCAGGAGTCTTTTTGCTAGTCCAGTGGAAGCTGGAATCTTTTGCCAGCCTAGGTGGTGGCTAAAGAGTTGAAATCACTAAGAGCTGAAGTCACTGGTTTAGCCTGGAGCCAGACCCATTGCAGCCAGCGGAACGGCTGGTGGGAACGATCAGCGGGCAGCTGGTAGGAGCGGCAGCAGGCGGCGCAAGCAGACCACAGGAGCAGCACAACAGTGGCACGGCCTCAGGCTCAATGAGTGGAGTCATCAGGGTGATGTGTCAGAGTCCGCACTGACTGGACAGCGCTGTAAGTGGGGTGTTTGAAGTGGGGTACAGAGAAAGTTTGGGTAAATGAATGGAACCCTTACCTTGTTGGACTAGTGAGCCTGTGGGGCAAAGGACATTGCTCAATCCATTTGAGCTGGGACGGTTACTCCGGGGGGGGGGAGAAGGGGGGATTAGGAACTATCTTTGTGGTATTTTTCCGAGCTAATGCCATGTAACCTCTCTCTTTCTTCAAAAGTTCTTTTTTACGCTCAGACTCTGTGCTTGCGAGTGGGGATGCATTGCCTCTCAGAGGCACCCAGGGGTGTGTGAATTTCCCAGGGTACTGGGTAGGGGTGAGATGGATGAAAAGGGGCCCCTAAATATTGAACCCGGCCCTGGCTGCTGCTGGCACTACCTGACAGAAGGGTTACATAAGATTATAATTTTCTTCCCAGGTTTGTCCTTTGCCACCTGGCAAACACTGATCGAGACAATTTATCCATCTCTCTTACCCTTGTCACCCCGATATCTGCCTGGCCATAGGGAGGTACCTTAGCATCTAGTGGGGGAACCGAACCCAGCCACAAATGGGGGGCTAGCACTAGAGCCACATTTTCATATTTTCATGGGGAAAAAATAGAAAATGTCCTCACAAAAATAAAGATTCTGAACGCCTTTTGATTCTCCCATAAATGCCACCTGTTTCACAGACCAGGAATTGAGACATGGAGAAAAAGAGACTTGTTCATAGTCACACAGCAGAGCTAAGAACTGGATTGAGTCCCACGTCACTGGTGTAACCATCAGGCCATTTTTTCCTCCCAAGACATGAATTTGGCAAACTTTTCAGGGAAACCACTGTAGATGTGCCATCGGAGGAGAGGGTGGAAGAGGGGATGATGGACAAAGAGTTGACCATAAAGAAACAATAAGAATATAATAAATTCTAACCCATACCAATAGCACCATTTGTGCTCTGAATGCAGTACTGTTTGTGCATGCATTTATGTGTTATGCATGTCGGCACCTGTCACTATTTATGTAATAAGTAAGTCAGCACATCTGTATTCGTTTATGATTTGCAACAGAACTATCTTAATGGTGTTATTGCACATGTTCAAGCAAATTGCTACACTTATTTTTGGCTTATCTGTGTACAAAATGTGCAGCGCATCACAGTATTTTATGCCTGTGTTGCAAATAATGGATTTTTTGGTGCGAGTTGTAACAAGGTCAAGAGATTGGGGGCAGTAGAGAAAAAAGAAAAGACAAAAGAAGAAAGCAAAAGAACTGAAGGGGTTTGATGTCCGGAACTGGAGGAGGAGATGGGGTGATGGAAAAGACTGAGGGTACGTTCATACTGCATGTTTATTTTGATATAAGCTATTCCGGAATAGTTATTCTAAAATAGCTTATTTCGAAATAGAGCATCCACACCGCAGGGAAGCTTCAAAATTAGTCCGAGGCAGACTCCCCTAATGTAGATGTGCAGGAGGTACTGAGCCCCAGGAGGTACTGAGGAGGAATAACTTAGAATGGCCCTGGTGAGGGGCTACTTCGAAATAGCAGCAGTGGAGCGTCTACACAGGCCTTATTTCGAAATAGCTATTTCAGAATAGGCATTACTCTTCGTAGAATGAGGTTTACAGATTTCGGAAGAAGTCGTACGTTATTTCAGAATTATTTCGAAATAACTCACATTGTTATTTCAAAATAACACTAGTTATCTTGAAATAATGGTGCAGTGTAGACGCACCTGGACATATCAAAAACCAGAGAGGGAAAACAAGACAGGTGAACACCTCTATGGAGCCGAAAGAGAGAGAGAATAAATACAGCCCTCAGTGATGGTCCAGCAGGTAGAAGGGGAAAATCATTTGGAAACCAAGAAATGGTCAGTCAGGGACAAGGCTTCTGTGGAGAATTACATTACAATACAGTCGACTGACATCATCTGCCATTGTCCTTATGTGAAGCCTCACCCTTTGAATTTGTCATTGCTTTATCTCCTTCCTTTTCCCTAACCCTAACCCTTCCCCCAGCACTGAAAACAGTGGTTGGAGGTAAAGGGGTAAAAATATATCATTAAGGGAGTTGCTACTTCTTAAAGCTGGAGACCGTCTGGGGAAGACAGAGTATTTGCAGCTAAATGTGGGATCCATCGATTGTCCCCAATGAATAGAGCCTGGGATCAGAGTACCACCCAGGCAAAATTAGCAGGGCGTCAAATTAGTTATTGCACAAGGAACCTCCGCAGCATGCCTCTCCCTCATATGTGTGGCTTTGGGAGGATTCGTTTGGCAGGGCAATCTCTCTTGCGACTGGCTGAGAGGATGCCGGGAAGATTGTGTGGAGGTGATGGGAATATTAGGGCTCTAAAACTGTCAAGGAAACGTGTTTGTATCTGGTCTAGCTACTCTGTGGAAAGCCATCTGTCCCTGGGAGACTGAGCACCTTGTAAACACCAAGTGGGTGTTAAATGCAAAAACAGGCCCTGCTACAGGGAGTATAAAGGGGGCATGGAGCCAGCCCCCCTGCTCCCACCTTGCCCAGGGGCCTGCATGGGGTGTCAGAGCAAAAAAATTAGGCCCCTGAGCAAAAAAGTTAGGTCATAGGAGCCGCCGTTGCTAGGGAGGAGAGGAATATCTTCTACCCATCTTAATGGCCCTTCAATGTAGCTCTAAGAGTCAGGGACTGATCCTGTCACTTGCCAACATCACCCCCTCCGCCCCATGTGGTCATTTGTAACAGACGTCCCCCATAGCCGTCAGATCCTCTCATGCACCATTCAGTGCTCAAAGATGTAGGCTCTGAAGTACAAAGAGATGCAAAGTACGTCCTCTCTGGCTGACATGACCTTAGCACCACTCCTTAGTTTGGCCACAGGGAGACCAGTGGGTAGAACAACGGACCAGCGTCACAACCATCTGTCGGGCTCAAACCTCAGCACAGGGCAGAATGCCAAAATTCAGTGGCTCAAGGCAAGATTCCACTTTCTGATAAAGGCAGTGCTCTTGTCGGACATCTTTCTAGCAGACTCAACAGTCTCATGTGGAGTTCTCCAGGTTCAAAGGCTGCCCTTGATTACCAGGAAAAACTTGAAAAACAAGGAAAAACTTGAA